GGCGTGTCTTCGTGGGTGTGTCCCCATTCCCTGTCCCCATGTTCCTGTCCCCATGCCCTGTCCCCATGTCCCTGTCCCCACCATGTCCCCATTCCCTGTCCCCCACCGTGTCCCCATGTCCCTGTCCCCTGCCATGTCCCCATGCTCTGTCCCCACCATGTCCCCATATCCCCGTGTCCCTGTCCCCATGCCCTGTCCCCACACTGTGTCCCCATCTCCTGTCCCTGTGTCCCTGTCCCCTGCCACATCCCCATTCCCTGTCCCCCACCATGTCCCCATGCCCTGTCCCCTGCCCTGTCCCCTGCCCTGTCCCCATGTCCCCACTCCCTGTCCCCACCCTGTCCCCATGCCCTGTCCCCATGTCCCCACTCTTTGTCCCCATTCCCTGTCCCCCACCATGTCCCCACTCCCTGTCCCCCACCATGTCCCCACTCCCTGTCCCCCACCATGTCCCCACTCCCTGTCCCCTGCCCTGTCCCCACCACGTCCCCATGTCCTGTCCCTGTCCCCACTCCCTGTCCCCTGCCCTGTCCCCACCGTGTCCCCGTGTCCCCAGGGAGATGACCCACCTGCAGAAGGAGGTGACGGCCATCGAGACCAAGCTGGAGCAGAAGCGCAGCGACCGCCACAACCTGCTGCAGGCCTGCAAGATGCAGGACATCCGCCTGCCGCTGGCCCGCGGCTCCATGGACGACATCAGCCAGGAGGAGGTGACACCTGCCACACCCCCGGGTCACCCTGAGCCACCCCTGTGTCACCCTGGGTCACCCCAGGGTCACCCTGAGCCACCCCTGTGTCACCCTGGGTCACCCCCGGGTCACCCTGAGCCACCCCTGTGTCACCGTGAGCCACACCCGGGTCACCCTGAGCCACCCCCGGGTCACCCTGTGTCACCCTGTGTCACCCCCTGTGCTCCCACTGCCGCTGGCCCGCGGCTCCATGCACGACATCAGCCAGGAGGAGGTGACACCTGCCACACCCCCGGGTCACCCTGAGCCACCCCCTGTGTCACCAAGTGTCCCCCATGTCCCCTGAGCGCCGATTGTCCTCTGTGTCACTCTGATTGTCCCCTCAGGCCTGTCCTCCTGTGCCACCCTGTGTCACCCTAAGCCACCCCCGTGTCACCCTCTGTGCTCCGGCTGCCGCTGGCCCGCGGCTCCATGGATGACATCAGCCAGGAGGAGGTGACACCTGGGTCACCCTGTGTCACCCTGAGCCACCCTGTGTCACCAAGTGTCCCCCACGTGCCCTGACCACCAATTGTCCTCTGTGTCACTCTGATTGTCCCCTCAGGGTGGTGGCACTGGCGAGGACACCAGTGGCAGCTCCAGCCGTGTCCCCTGACTGTCCCCTCTGTGTCCCCTGTGTCCCCTCAGGGCGGTGGCACCGGCGAGGACGCGGGGGGCAGCTCCAGCCGTGTCCCCTGTCTGTCCGCGCCTGTCCCCCTCCCCTGTGTCCCCTCAGGGCGGTGGCACCGGCGAGGACGCGGGGGGCAGCTCCAGCCGTGTCCCCTGACTGTCCCCTCTGTGTCCCCTGTGTCCCCTCAGGGCGGTGGCACCGGCGAGGACGCGGGGGGCAGCTCCCAGCGCAGCTCCAGCCTGTACGCGCGCGAGGCGCTGATCGAGATCGACTACAGCGACCTGCCCGAGGAGCTCAAGGTGGGACAGCGGGCACAGCTGGCACAGCTGGGCATGTCCTGGGCACACCTGGCACAGCTGGGCACACCTGGACATGTCCTGAGCATGTCCTGGGCACTCCTAGGTACAGCTGGCACACCTGGGTACTGCTGGCACAGCTGGACATGCCCGGGTACACGTGGGCGTGCTGGGCACAACCGGGCACAGCTGGGCACACCTGGACATGTCCTGAGCATGTCCTGGGCACTCCTAGGTACAGCTGGCACACCTGGGTACTGCTGGCACAGCTGGACATGCCCGGGTACACGTGGGCGTGCTGGGCACAACCGGGCACAGCTGGGCACACCTGGACATGTCCTGAGCATGTCCTGGGCACTCCTAGGTACAGCTGGCACACCTGGGTACTGCTGGCACAGCTGGACATGCCCGGGTACACGTGGGCGTGCTGGGCACAACCGGGCACAGCTGGGCACACCTGGACATGTCCTGAGCATGTCCTGGGCACACCTAGGTACAGCTGGCACACCTGGGTACAGCTGGCACAGCTGGACATGCCCGGGTACACCTGGGCGTGCTGGGCACAACCGGGCACAGCTGGGCACACCTGGGCATATCCTGTGTCTCCTGATGTCCCCTGCTGTCTGCATGTCCTGTGTCCCCATGTCCCCAATGTCCCCTGCTGTCCCCAATGTCCCACTGTCCCCGTGTCCCCAGGACGCCCAGGCCGAGGAGGAGATCCGGCAGGAGATGGCGGCGCTGCAGCAGCGGCTGACGTGTCCCCGTGTCCCTCACACCCTGTGTGTCCCCTCATGTCCCTGATGTCCCCTGCTGTCCCTGATGTCCCCGTGTCCCCTCATGTCCCCATGTCCCCAGGACGCCCAGGCCGAGGAGGAGATCCGGCAGGAGATGGCGGCGCTGCAGCAGCGGCTGACGGAGCAGCAGAGCGTCCTGCAGCGCATCGCCGCGCCCAACATGAAAGCCATGGAGAAACTGGAGAGCGTCCGCGACAAGTTCCAGGAGACCTCGGATGGTGGGACACGGGGGGACACCGTGGGGACACGGGGGGGACATGGGACAGTGTCCACGACAAGTTCCAGGGGACCTTGGACGGTGGGACACGGGGGGACACCATGGTGGGACATGGGGACAAGTTCCTGGAGACCTTGGACTGGGGGACATCGTGGGGACATGATGGGGACAAATTCCAGGAGACCTCGGATGGTGGGCTGCTGTCCCCAATGTCCCACTGTCCCCGTGTCCCCAGGACGCCCAGGCCGAGGAGGAGATCCGGCAGGAGATGGCGGCGCTGCAGCAGCGGCTGACGGAGCAGCAGAGCGTCCTGCAGCGCATCGCCGCGCCCAACATGAAAGCCATGGAGAAACTGGAGAGCGTCCGCGACAAGTTCCAGGAGACCTCGGATGGTGGGACACGGGGGGACACCGTGGGGACACGGGGGGGACATGGGACAGTGTCCACGACAAGTTCCAGGGGACCTTGGACGGTGGGACACGGGGGGACACCATGGTGGGACATGGGGACAAGTTCCTGGAGACCTTGGACTGGGGGACATCGTGGGGACATGATGGGGACAAATTCCAGGAGACCTCGGATGGTGGGGACATGGGGACACCGTGGGGACAAGATGGGACACCATGGGGGGACCTGGGGACGAGTTCCAGGAGACCTCAGAGGGTGGGGACATGGGGACATGGTGGGGACAAGTTCCAGGAGACCTCGGATGGGGGGACACTGTGGGGACATGGGGGGATGTGGAGGGGACATGGAGTGTCCCCTGGGTGTCTGTGATGTCCCCTCATGTCCCCAGCCGTCCCTGCTGTCCCCAGTGTCCCTCAGAGCTCGAGGCCCCCCGTAAACGCTACTGACCCCAATGTCCCTCGGGCTGTCCCCATGGCTGTCCCCTGGCTGTCCCTGGCTGTCTGTGATGTCCCCTGATGTCCCCAATGTCCCCATGGTGTCCCTGGGTGTCTGCTGTCCCCTGATGTCCCCAATGTCCCCTTAGAGTTCAAGGCCGCCCGTAAACGCTCCAAGAACGCTGAGCAGGCGTGTCCTGACCCCAGTGTCCCCTGGTCCTGTTCCCCTGACCCAAATGTCCCTGGGGCTGTCCCTGCTGTCCCCTGGCTGTCCCTGACTGTCCCTGCTGTCCCCAGCTGTCCCCTGATGTCCCCAGCTGTCCCTGATGTCCGATTTCCCTGGGTGTCGTCCTGACCCCAGTGTCCCATGGCTGTCCCCTGGCTGTCCCTGGATTTCCCTGGGTGTCTGTGATGTCCCCGCTGTCCCTGATGTCCCCGCTGTCCCCGCTGTCCCCAGAGTTCGAGGCGGCCCGCAAGCGCGCCAAGAAGGCCAAGCAGGCGTTTGAGCAGATGAAGAAGGAGCGGTTCGACCGCTTCAACTCCTGCTTCGAGGCCGTGGCCACCAACATCGACGAGATCTACAAAGCGCTGTCCCGCAACAGCAGCGCCCAGGTGGGCACCGGCACGCACCTGGGCACCGGGCACACACCTGGGCACACACCTGGGCACACCTGGGCACCTGGGCACACCTGGGCTGGCCCAGGGCAGGCCCCGCCCATCCTCCAGGTGTTCCTGGGCCCTGAGGAGCCCTCCCTGTGTCCCCAATGTCCCCAATGATGTCCCCAGTGTCACCTGTGTCACCTCAGTGTCACCTGAATGTCCCCAATGTCCCCTCAGGCGTTCCTGGGCCCCGAGAACCCCGAGGAGCCGTACCTGGATGGGATCAATTACAACTGTGTCACCTCCATGTCCCCGTGTCCCCCGTGTCCCCTGTGTCCCCAGTGATGTCCCCAGTGTCATCTCAGTGTCCCCAATGTCCCCAGTGATGTCCCCAATGTCCCCTCAGGCATTTTTGGGACCGGAGAACCCCGAGGAGCCGTACCTGGACGGGATCAATTACAACTGTGTGGCCCCCGGGAAGCGTTTCCGGCCCATGGACAACCTGTCGGGGGGGGAGAAAACCGTGGCTGCGCTGGCCCTGCTCTTCGCCATCCACAGGTGGGACCCCAAAACCCGGGGGGACCCCAAAAACCCGGGGGAACCCCAAAATCCCTAGGGAAAATCCCAAAAATCTGGGGGAAATCCCAAAAACCCCAGGAAAATCTCAAAAACATCTCCCTTTGGCTGTGCTGGCCCTGCTCTTCGCCATCCACAGGTGGGACCCCAAAACCCGGGGGGACCCCAAAACCCCCATGGGAAATCCCAAAAATCTGGGGGAAATCCCAAAAATCTGGGGGAAATCCCAAAAGCTCCATGGGAAAACCCAGAGGTGGGACCCCAAATCCTCCCCAAAATTCCCCCCTTCGGCTGCCCTGGCCCTGCTCAGCACCATCCGCAGGTGGGACCCCAAAAACACCCGGGGGAACCCCAAAAACCCCAGGGGAAATCCCAAAAACCCCAGGGGAGACCCCAAAAACTGGGGGGGAAATCCCAAAAACCCCAGGGGAGACCCCAAAAACTGGGGGGAAATCCCAAAAACCCAGGGGGAACCCCAAAACCAGGGCTGGCTCCTTTTGGGGTGCCCCAGTTTTGAGGTCTAACGCAGTTTTGGGGTTCCCCATTTTTGGGGTTCCCCGTTTTTGGGACTCACCCAGTTTGGGGTTCCCCATTTTTGGGGTGCCCGGTTTTGGGACTCACCCAGTTTGGGGTGCCCCGTTTTTGGGGTTCCCCGTTTTTGGGGTACCCCGTTTTTGGGGTGCCCCGTTTTTGGGGATCCCCGTTTTTGGGGTCTCACCCAGTTTGGGGTTCCCCATTTTTGGGGTGTCCTGTTTTGGGGTCTCAGCCAGTTTTGGGGTCTCACCCAGTTTCAGGGTTTCCCATTTTTGGGGTGCCCCGTTTTTGGGGTTCCCCATTTTTGGGGTGTCCTGTTTTGGGGTTCCCCGTTTTTGGGGTGTCCCAGTTTTGAGGTCCCCAGTTTTGGGGTTCCCCGTTTTTGGGGTTCCCCGTTTTTGGGGTACCCCGTTTTTGGGGTGCCCGGTTTTGGGGTCTCACCCAATTTGGGGTTCCCCAGTTTTGAGATTCCCCGTTTTTGAGGTGCCCAGTTTTGGGGTGCCCCATTTTTGGGGATCCCCGTTTTTGGGGTGCCCAGTTTTGGGGTCTCACCCAGTTTGGGGTTCCCCGTTTTTGGGGTTCCCCATTTTTGGGGTGCCCAGTTTTGGGGATCCCCGGTGTTGGGATCTCACCCCCATTTTTGGGGTGCCCGGTTTTGGGACTCACCCAGTTTGGGGTGCCCCGTTTTTGGGGTTCCCCGTTTTTGGGGTACCCCGTTTTTGGGGTGCCCGGTTTTGGGGTCTCACCCAATTTGGGGTTCCCCAGTTTTGAGATTCCCCGTTTTTGAGGTGCCCAGTTTTGGGGTGCCCCATTTTTGGGGATCCCCGTTTTTGGGGTGCCCAGTTTTGGGGTCTCACCCAGTTTGGGGTTCCCCGTTTTTGGGGTTCCCCATTTTTGGGGTGCCCAGTTTTGGGGATCCCCGGTGTTGGGATCTCACCCAGTTTTGGGGTGCCCGGTTTTGGGGTCTCACCCAGTTCGGGGTTCCCCGTTTTTGGGGTGCCCGTTTTTGGGGTGCCCGGTGTTGGGGTCTCGCCCAGTTTGGGGTTCCCCATTTTTGGGGTGCCCGTTTTTGGGGTGCCCGGTGTTGGGGTCTCACCCAGTTTTGGGGTGCCCGTTTTTGGGGTCTCACCCAGTTTGGGGTTCCCCATTTTTGGGGTGCCCGTTTTTGGGGTCTCACCCCTTTGCCCCCCCAGTTACAAACCCGCGCCGTTCTTCGTGCTGGATGAGATCGACGCCGCGCTGGACAACACCAACATCGGCAAGGTGGGAATTTGGGGGGCCCCTCCCGCTTTTGGGGGGTCCCTCCTCACTTTTGGGGTCCCCTCTCCATTTTGGGGCTCCCCCTGTAAAGTTTTGGGGTCTGGGGGTGTCCCCCCAACCTCCCCCAGCCCCATTTCTGCTCCCCAGGGAGGGATTTTGTCCCCCCAGCTCCCAATTTTGGGGTTCCCCACCCCAATTTTGGGGGCCCCTCCCCGCTTTTGGGGTCCCCTCCCCATTTTGGGGTCCCCTCCCCATTTTGGGGCTCCCCCCGGGATTTTGGGGTCACCCCAACCTCATTTTCCCCCTCACTGAGTTAATGTTTCTGCCCCCAGCCCCAAATTTGGGGATCCCCGCCCCATTTTGGGGCGCCCCCCGGGATTTTGGGGTCACCCCAACCTCATTTTCCCCCTCACTGAGTTAATGTTTCTGCCCCCAGCCCCAAATTTGGGGATCCCCACCCCATTTTTGGGGTCCCCATGTGGTTTTTGGGGTCCCCGGTCCCCTTTTTGGCACTCCCGATCCATTTTTTGGGGTGCCAGGGGGTTTTTCTGGGATGTCAAACTGTTTTTTGAGGTTTTAGGTCCATTTTTTGGGGTTTCAGGTCCATTTTTTGGGGTGCCAGGTGGGATTTTTTCGTTTCCAGCTACATTTTTTGGGGTGCCAAGCTGCTTTTCGAGTTTCCAGGTCCAGTTTTTGGGGTGCCAGTTCCATTTTGTGGGGTTCCAGGTCTGTTTTTTGGGGTGCCAAGGCGTTTTTTCGGGTGCCAGCTCCATTTTTTGAGTTTCAAGGTCCATTTCTGGGGTTCCATGTGCATTTTTTGGGGTGCCACCTGGGTTTTTTTAAGTGCCGAGCACATTTTTTGGGGTGCCAAGCCAGGTTTTCGGGGTGCCAAGCACATTTTTTGGGGTGCCCAGTCCATTTTTGGGGTGCCAAGCTGTTTTTTTTGGGTGCCAAGCTGGTTTTTGGGGTGCCAAGTGTGTTTTTTTGGGGTGCCAAGCCGGTTTTTTGGGGTGCCAAGTCCATTTTTGGGGTGCCAAGCGTGGTTTTTGGGGTGCCAAGTCGATTTTTTGGGGTGCCAAGGCACATTTTTTGGGGGGCCCAGTCCATTTTTGGGGTGCCAAGCTGTTTTTTTGGGTGCCAAGCTGTTTTTTTTGGGTGCCAAGCTGGTTTTTGGGGTGCCAAGCGTGTTTTTGGGGTGCCAAGCGTGTTTTTTTGGGGTGCCAAGTCCATTTTTGGGGTGCCAAGCGTGGTTTTTGAGGTGCCAAGTCGATTTTTTGGGGTGCCAAGCATGGTTTTTAGGGTGCTAAGTCCATTTTTTGGGGTGCCAAGCTGTTTTTTTGGGGTTCCAAGTTGATTTTATGGGGTGCCAAGCCGGGTTTTTGGGGTGCCAAGCCGGGTTTTGGGGTGCCAATCCATTTTTTGGGATTCCAAGTCCATTTTTGGGGTGCCAAGCCGGGTTTTGGGGTGCCAAGTCCATTTTTTTGGGTGCCAAGCGTGTCTTTTGGGGTGCCAAGTCCATTTTTGGGGTGCCAAGTCCATTTTTGGGGTCCCCAGGTGGCCAATTACATCAAGGAGCAGTCGGCCGCCAACTTCCAGGCCATCGTCATCTCCCTCAAGGAGGAATTCTACACCAAGGCGCAGAGCCTGATCGGCGTCTACCCGGAGGTACCGAACACCAAAAATGGCCAAACACCCCTGGGAGTCACAGAAACACCCTGGGAACACCGAAAATACACAAAAATACCCCTGGGAACACCGGAAACACCCCTGGGAATCACAGAAACACCCTGGGAACACCGAAATACCCCTGGGAACACCAAAAACACCCTTGGGAACACTGAAAACACACCAAACACCCCTGGGAAT